AGAAGCCCCACCGCCCTCAGCTTACAAGGAAGTCGAGTGCGCCGCCACTTGGTCCTTCTGCGCCAGCAGACCCCGAACCAGCAGCAAGTATTAGAAAAAGTCCCTTTGTAAACCGTAAGTAAGCCTATTATTTCTTAGTGCTACATACTTATTCCCACGGTAACTACACTATACAAACATACATATATCGCATTAAAGTACTTCAAAAAAAAGTAACCTAAAATTCGTAAAAAGCTTGTGCGCCTTTTTCCAAAAAAAAAAACGGCAACCTCAGTCCGTTAAAGAATTTTTTAGAACTTCGTGCATATATATGTATATTTCCAAGGTTTTGAGTAAATAAGTACCGAAAGCCAATATCCCGTACATCGAAAATACATAAATATATGCATGTACTTATGTACTGATATCTCTTACAGTCGCGTGAAAAACAAAAAAAAAAAATAAAAACTTGCATCTACATAAACTAAAATTTTCTCGTACTCTTTCATTCGTTGAGCAAGTTTCTCGAAATAACTCTATTCTCAAAACGGGTAAATAAATAAATTAGTCAATAAATTAAATCTCTATTTTTCTCTAATTCGCGACCGAGCACTGACATAATCGCAAAACTGACACATTTAATTATTTACTCACTCATATTATATCACTGTATATTTACTTCTCTGGCATTCCTTTAAAAAGGAATTGCCTTAAATTCTCTGGCATTCCCTTAAAAAGGAATTGCATTAAATTCTTTGGCATTCCTGTAAGAGGAATCGCATTTACTTAAAAAAAAAAAAAAAAAAATATTTTATTCTTGTAGTATTCTCGAGTTCTTTGCATCTCCCTCAGGCATCCCTCTCTCTCAGTCTCTCAACCCCAGTCCTTTCAGACTAAATTATAAATTTTCTCGGGGCTTAACGAAGAATCCCAAATTCCCAAAATGAGTGATGAAGAGAAAATCGTTGCGATCGAAACTCAACGCTCTGCCCGCTCAAGCGGGAAAACTTCAAAAAAACAAAGGCAATTGGCCTCCGTTAAGTTTATTGCAGAGACTGATAATTTAGTCGATTACTGTTCAAGATTCAAATCCCTACCTCTCGAAAATAACTCAGAATCAAGCCTGAAAATAAAAGATACGAGTTTAGACAATTTTTGGAATCGAGTTCAAAACTGTTATGATGTAGTTGTAGAGGCAGACGAGCAAGACCTTCCCGAAGATTTCAAAGCAGGTGCTTTTCGCAAATATCGGTCTTGTCTCGATCAATATGAAGACACTAAAGCTCAAATCGCTGACCGGCTCCATCTTCATAAGCAAGTGAGCACTCCCATGCCTACTCCCTCTTCATCACAACCCAAACGCCAGTCTGGCCTCGGCTTAACCGTCCCTCCTTGTGACACCGAAGTATTTTACGGAAGTTATGAACAATGGCCCTCTTTCCGGGATATGTTCACAGCGGTATACATAAATCACCCTGAACTCACCCAAGGCCAAAAGTTGTACCATCTCAGGTACAAAACTCAAGGTAAAGCCAATCAAATAGTAAAGCAATTCTCTCTCTGTGATGAAAGCTTTAATCTCGCATGGGAAGCACTTCGGTCTCGATATGAGAATAAGCGTAGTTTGGTAGACAACCAAATACGAATCTTAATGAACCTCAAACCCATTCCCACCGAAAGCAGCGAAGACATACAAAGGCTGCAGTCTTCTGTAAACAACTGCCTTCAAATTCTCGCAACTCAGCAAGTCTCAACCGAGAATTGGGACCCCATCCTCATCTATATAGTCACCTCTAAGCTTCCCGAAACCACAGTATCCCTGTGGGAACAGTCCCTCAGCTCGAGGAAAGACCTCCCCAACTGGTAATGGACCAGTTTCTCACTACTCGTTATGAAGTGGCCGAAAGAGTTGACCAATGGCGCCTGCCGAAGGCGAGACCTCCTGTTCAGCCCACTAGCTCTTCAAAGCCGCCTTTCTCTTATAACAACCCACCTTTTAAACCCCCTCACTCTCAAAACTTTCAAAACAGATCGATGTCACAAATACAATCTCACGTGACAGAGCAGCGAATAATGCACAAATGTTCGATGTGTAAGACCTCCTCTCATTCGCTGTGGAACTGCTTCAAATTCCGAAAGTTGTCAATCTCTGATCGCAAGAAGTTCGTAAGAGAAAATAATATGTGCTTCAATTGTCTATCCCAGTCACACTTGTTGAAAGATTGCCCTAGCACACAAACTTGTAGCCATTGTAATGAACGTCACAACTCAGTGCTCCATGAAGCCACAAACTCCATGCCGAAAAGGCAACCCCCAAGAGTGCAAAAAACCAACTCACAAGTGGCAACCACAACCTCCACAAACTTAAGTGCCCAAACTTCAACTCAAACAGACGCTGACAAACAAGAAGCCTCGGGTACGCAGGTGCAATCATTCTACTCAGAGCATGAGAGCAGAATACTCCTACCTACAGCTATGGTACCGGTATCACACCGAGGAGAAATATTTAAACTCAGAGCTCTTATAGATCAGGGGTCAGAACGAAGCTTTATCTCCACCAAAGCTCAAAATAAGCTAGGGCTGCCCTGCAAATCCTCAAAATTTGAAATCTCGGGCATGGGTGGAAGAGTTGTTCAAACTTCGAACAAATTATGCTCTTTAGTCTTGGTTTCCGCCGATCTCCAAACTAAAATAAATGCTCAAGCTATCGTGTTACCACAGCTGACAAAAATGCTCCCCAAGTTCCCACTTAATCATGACCACAAAGAAAAATGGTCTCATCTGAAACTGGCAGATCCAAACTGCCACTCCCCAGCCCAGATTGACCTCGTGTTAGGCAGTGATATCATCCCTCAAATAATCGAGGAGGGCATTGAAAAAATCTCACCAACTCTGCTAGCTCAAAAGACAATATTTGGTTGGATACTTAGTGGTCAGATTTACGAAAACATAGCTTCATACTCTACACAAATAGAGGAAATTTCTAATGAGCACCTCAACTCACAATTGCGTCGGTTTTGGGAACTAGAAGAAGTTCCAAACCTCAAGCATACCACCCCTGAAGACGACTTTTGCGAAGATTTCTATAAATCCACCACTTCTCGCAACTCTGATGGTCGTTATGTGGTCAGGCTTCCGTTCAAGCCAAGTTTCCCCAAAGAAATCTCTTTAGGTTACTCTCGCTCCTCAGCGCTTAAGCAATTTCTCGGAATGGAGAGAAACCTCCGCAAAAAGGGCGATTTAAAGGCCTCATATGATAATGTCCTGGAAGAATATCTCACCCTAAACCACATGGAAAAAACTATGTCCCAAGAAAAACTCCTCTCAGGCAAGTACATGTCGTTCTATCTCCCTCACCATGCGGTCATTAAGCCCGAAAAGCGAACGACAAAGGTACGAGTTGTCTTTAATGCATCAAAGATTTCGGGATCCGGTTACTCTCTTAACGATGTATTATACACCGGACCAACTCTCCAGCCTGATTTGATGCTTCTCATCCTCAAGTGGCGAATGTATAAATTTGTATTTAATGGTGATGTCGAAAAGATGTACCGACAAATACTGCTACATCCCGAAGACCAGGACTTTCAAAGAATAATCTTTCGTTCACCCACAACCAGTCCCATTCAAGATTATAAATTAAAAACGGTCACATTCGGTGTAAACTGTGCGCCCTACCTCGCCATTCGCACACTTCACCAAGTAGCACAAGATGAAAAAACCAACTACCCAATGGCCGCCCACATTCTGAATAAAGAGACGTATGTGGATGACATACTCTCTGGCAGCCACGATCTGACAATCGCCACTCAATCTCTCACCCAAGTCATTCAGGCTCTAAACTCGGCAGGTTTTCCCTTAAAGAAAATAACAGCGAACCACCCAGAAATTCTCAAAAATATAAGGAAAGAGGACTTGCTCGATACTAATTTTCTCGAGTTCGAAAAGGCAAGTACCACAAAGACTCTAGGGATCCAATGGAACGCGCCCACAGACACGTTTTCCTATACGATCGACTCCATCCCAGCCTTATCTGCTAGCACTAAACGACAGATTCTCTCCTCTGTCGCGAAACTTTTTGACCCCGCAGGGTGGCTTACGCCGATAATGATCCAGGCAAAGATTCTCTTACAAGAGCTCTGGATCGACGGAACTGACTGGGACGAAAAAGTCAAGCCCCTCCGTCTTGTTAAATGGTCTCAGTTCGCACAAAATCTCCACACAATCTCGACCATTCAAATACCCCGATGGGTAAACTTTGTTCCCGACCAGCATGTTGAACTCCATGGATTCTGCGACGCCTCAGAAAAGGCATATTGTGCTAACGTATATGTTCGAACTACTCATGGTTCCAGTATCTCTTCTCATCTTCTGGTTTCCAAAGGCAAGGTAGCACCCCTTCGAACAACTAGCTTACCCCGGCTTGAGCTCTGCGGAGCTCTTCTCTTAGCCAAACTTGTCGCAGCTATTCAGTCCCATCTCGACCTCTCTAAAAGAAAACTGGTACTATGGTCTGACTCTGAAATTGTATTGGCATGGCTGGAAAAACCACCCCACTCTTGGAAAACGTTCGTCTCTAATCGCACCGCGGAGATCTTGGAACTCGTCGGAAACGCCACCTGGCGACATGTATGCAGCAGCGACAACCCCGCAGATATGGGCACAAGGGGTTGCAAGCCACTAGACTTAGCAGCGTCGTCGTTATGGTGGAATGGTCCTGAGTGGCTATCCAAGCCCCCCGAAGGATGGCCAAAACCCCCAGTCCGCAATGTCAACCCCCCGGAAGTACGAAGAGTGGAGGCACTCCTCACTACCGAAGAAGACCCCGACATTCTGGACAGGTTTTCCTCTTTCTCTCGAGCCTTGAGAGTGATGGCTTACGTCTTCAAGTTCATCAGACGACTAAAGGACAAAGGGACAGGAGCTTCTGACCGCGCATCATCCCCGCTATCACATGATGAGCTCCACCAAGCGAAAATTCGTCTGATCATCCTTACGCAAACCCGTCACTTCCCCCATGAAAAAGCCCGCTTAGAAGACTCAAAACCCATTGACAAAAAGAGTTCACTATTAGTTCTTAACCCCTTCTTGGATAAAAATGGAGTTATCCGCGTCAATGGACGCCTTGCTCATGCTACCCTGAGCTACAACGAACGTCACCCCATTATAATTCCGGAAAAGTCCCGATTCGCATTCCTCTATCTAAAATTTCTCCATGATCTCCTGCTCCATGCAGAAGTACGACTTATGCAGCAGATGACCAGGCAAGAATTGTATATTCCCCGGCTAAAACCCCTCATCAAAAAATGCATTTATCAATGTAAATCCTGCACCATTCACAAACAGCAAATGCGCTCGCAGATTATGGCTGCCCTGCCGCCCGAACGATGCACCTTCGCTCCGCCCTTCACCACCACCGGTGTTGATTTTGCTGGGCCTTTTCAAATAAAAGCCTCCATGCTAAGATCTCCCACTTTAGTGAAAGGCTATGTGGCCGTCTTTGTGTGCTTCACAACAAAGGCGGTACACCTCGAGCTGTGCTCAGACCTGACCAAAGAGGCATTTCTCGCCGCCTTTGCTCGTTTTGTTGGTCGCCGTGGTTACCCCGCTAAAATGATGAGTGACAATGGCAAAACTTTTATAGGAGCCAAAAGAGCCACTGAAAAGGAGTTCTCTGTCTTCCTCCAAACTGCATCCCGTGATATTGTCCAAAAATACTCACCTCAGGGTATTAATTGGCAATTTATACCTCCCAGCGCCCCGCACATGGGTGGCTTATGGGAGTCTGCCGTTAAAAGTTTTAAACTTCACTTCAAAAGGACTGCCGGGCCCCATAAATTTACGTTTGAGGAGTTTACTACCCTTTTAATAAGAGTAGAAGCTGTATTAAATTCTCGTCCGATAACCCCACTCACCCAAGACCCGACGGACTTTACAGCGCTCTCACCTGGCCACTTTCTCCGGGGTGCTCCCCTCCTATCATTCCCCGAGTCTAATCGCGAAAACCTCTCGCTCATTAATAGATGGGAAATCCTCAAGGTTTTACACCACCAATTCGCAAACCGATGGAAGGAAGACTACCTTAAAGACCTACATAAGCGACACAGGTGGAAGAACGCTCAAGTAGAACCCAGAATCGGAGAATGCGTAGTCATTAATGATGACACACTCCCGCCCACGGAGTGGCGCCTGGGCCGCATCGAAAGGTTGCACCCTGGCAAGGATGGACACATTCGTGTGGTCGACGTCCGCACCCAAACAGGCCTACTCACTCGGCCATTAGTAAAATTAGTATTTTTGCCTTCGAGCGAAGACACCCCCTCTCGCATTGAAACCGATTAGCACTCCATAAACTCCTCACTTGAATAAGCAGCCAAATGACTGCACATCGATTTTCACACACCACACATACATATACACTTTCGTATCTCTCTCCTATGCCTCCCATATATTAATATACGTAACACTAAAAATTTCCGTATACAAACTTCTTCCAGATGGATCACGATGAGGCACCTCAGCCAGCACCGCGAACGTTCCTAAAGTCGCAGATTGGAACCACCCACAGCATACGTTCGGCGAATCATCCCACGGAGGATTATAAGCGGTGCCGATTGTGCGCCGGTCATCATGCGCTCCGAGTGTGTCCAGCGTTCTTGGGCGTACAGCCACAGCAGCGCTTCTTACTGGCAAGGGCGCACAAGTACTGCACGAACTGCCTGGCGCTTTCGCATCCGACCGCCCAGTGCACGTCCACTACCACCTGCCGCACTTGCTCCCTACAGCATCATACACTACTGCACCGGAATGGTATACCGGCAGCCCGCCGCACGAGGGCGAACTCCGTAGTGCCGCCCCCCAAACGCCTCGACCAGACAAACAAAAACGCTCCCCAACGTGGGGGATCAAGGCGTACATCACCGCCCTACAACCACACCCGACACCATCCCACCAGCGGGAACCGTAAAGTGCGCTTCACGAGGAAGGGATTCCAAACCGCTGGCTATCGTAGCAAGGCTACCAAAATTTTGGTCCACGAGGCAATGAGGGCTCTACGGGAGCTGAAGGATGCACTAGCCGCCTAACGCGGCCAGGGCCGGGAGGATGGCTACGCGAGCACTGCAACACTTATATTTAATTAACACAATTT